CTCTTCAATTCCTGATAACCCTGCGAGGCATCTGAAAAGAAGATGGTCCCGAGATCTCTTAATGTAGACATATCATTAGAGTGCTACCATTGCGTAGTTTCTCAACAGGTGTTTTCACGTCATTATATCCATATGTTCAAATTTACTAAATGTATTTCTTTTATACTGTTGTAAATATCATTAAGAAATAAAAAAATAAATACTTGGGTTCAGTACCATTTAAGTAATATTAATTTAGTACTATGTGCTAGTGGGTGATTTGACCAATATCACTCTCAACTGCCAGATTTTTATCCATAATTAATTAATTAAGATTACACACTTTTCTAGAGACTGGGTGTGCCCTAGGAGGGTCTCCCGATCCGAAGGTAGACCCATGATCGATGAAACAAAATAAATAATCACCTGTACCGGCCTCATTCGATTACGAATTTCGAATCTGAGACCTTAAGATCTGAAAGTCATTGCCTTACCCACCGAACTGCTAATAATCAAATAAATTTGATCCCATTTATTTCATTCAGTGACTTTCACTTACATATACATAACATATATTGGAAGTAAAAGTATTATGATATGATAAAAGATAGGTTTAAAAACCTATTTTTTTTATACACCTATTGGCTTATCTTTAAAAAAAAAACATTTATTTTTCTTTTATTCCTGACTTCCAGGATGCTTTGATGAGGTCCAGTGAAGGGTTTATTTTTGTAATTGATCTGATATAATTTAACTTTTATACAATCTCAAAACCTCGTTTACAGTTTCATAAATATTGAATAAGTCAAAAGTCGTAAAGAAAAGTCCATTTTAATTAATATCTCGAAGGGCATGACTTCCCAGAGGGGTACAAAAAATGGTTTGACAAATCCTCATTGTGCCACTCGAGGACATAATCGTTATTGCCCATAGAAATAAGTTACTGCAAGACAACAATGCACTCGGATACCACACGCACATACACAGGCGAGTTACGACTGACGGCGCATGCGCTGTTGATATACAACTCGAGCGGCTACAATTAAGGCCCCGTTCGTGAGGCCGCGAGGTCCATTCACGGCTCGCTCATTCAGGAACGAGTCAATCAAACTCTTTATTCGCCGGCGCCCTCTGCCGAGATGCCAATACATCACCGGACCCTAATGACCGATGCCGTGTGTATCGAGACTAGACACGGCGGCCATAACTCGCGGATGCTGCCCCAGAAGATAAATAAACCCCGAGGACTGGCTGCCCTGGTCCATTCAGTTTGGGCTGGAAATGTTAAAAGGCTAACGGACCCCTGACGTGCCTCATTCACGCCCTTTCACTATCTTCCTCTCCCTCTGATTATAGTCTTTTACGGTTTCACTTAGATCCTTTATTTTGTTTCTTTTTCTTTTTTCTCCCGTTTCGTTTTGTTTTTTGACAGCTTTCTAGAGCTCTGTAATTCCATACAATATGGCCCGGTCATTAGTCCTCCTTATCTCGTTGTCCATAGCTCAGTCTGTACTCGGGCTAAGGTCTGTCTGGGGCACGATTCAACGAGGTGTTATATAAGGCCTCTTCAGGTGGTTGTTATGTTCTTTTATTTGAGTTTTCTACTATGAATGACTGTCGTTTGTCATATTTCTTTGTGACAAAACTGAAACCTATATTCATTCTTATATGTAAGGCACTTATTTCTTCAGAGAATTAAATAATAATTAATCTCCTAATGTAACTCGTTGTTAGTTATTTCATTTCTTTATTTTCTCAATAATTCATTTATAATTTATCATTAACTTATTAAATTTACATGAGGTAATACATAGTCATGCATAGTACATACTACGTTTCCCTTAGTTAAAGGAAATAAATTGGTGAAAAAAAACACAAATTATTTTTAGTTCGCATAGTTGAAGTAATTGATATGCTATATCAAAGGTTAAAAGCACAACAAAGTACATTTTATTTCAGAAAAAACTTAAAAAGTTGCTAAGCTGTAAGGTCTTGCAGAAAATAAAATGCGATAAAGTTGATTATTTCAATCACTAAGTTAAGCATTCACCCTTAGAGTTAATGAATGGTTTTTGTAATGTTGTTTGTGGACTTTGCTATACTCCATAGAGCTAAAAACTTTTTATTTCACTTCTTGTCATAGTATGTTTGTGAAACATTTTTCATCTTTAAAGTACTCCTTTGTACTGAAAAAGTGTAAATAAAATTGTTGTACTTTTATTAGGCATCAAAAGTATATTCATTATTAATGCTGAAATAAAAATTAAAACATTAATGGTATGCCTGTAGTAATATAAATATGGACTTGCAAATAATATTACGTTTTCATATGTTATGTCATAGGTTAAATATGTCTGAAAAATAGACGTTGACCTCCAGATCATTAATATGTATATGATTTTTATTCAAAGAATTTTATTTGTTTATTTTTTGTTGTTGTATATCTGATAGATCCATTGGGCATCAAGAATTGAATAGGATTTTTATTAATTTTTCTTCATACAAACCCTGTAAGATAAACTCTTTCTAGCTGGAGGAATCGAAAACGAGATATAGAGCTTGGTATTTTTAACATATAGGTTTTGTTATATGTTCAATAAAAATATTCCATCATTTTTTGTTTTTAAAAATTGATGAGGCAGTTTAAATATTTTTTTGAAATTATTCTGATCGACATGTATTATTTAACGTTTGAATATTCCCTTTAATTCACTTGATGGTTGAATCATCTAGATATCATATTCCAAACTAGGTTATAAATTAATATAGTTTCGAGGTGTTAGCCGACATCAGAAGCTGAGAAAAATGAACAAATATTCTCAGTTCCAAAAGGCCCATTAGACGAAATGGACAAAGGCAAAGTTATTTTTTTCGATATAGAATCGCCAGGAATTTCGTTATCGAACTTGATGACGGACAAACGGTGTACCCAATTCAAAAATTGCTGCAACTCCCCAGTAGTATACCTACCTCAAATACGTAATTTCAATTTCGTTCGACTTTACTTTAGAAATATGATGTTTATACACAAACACAAACCATTTTGGTTAGTTGAACATAAGAGACCTCAAAATTTGTACTCCCTTTGTAAACTGGTATTCATAGTACTTAGAATTTCATGATTGAAATACTTTCATTAAGTTTATATTTCATATACAGTTCAGCAAGAAGATCGTAACCAAGACAGGGATAAGAAAATACGTCTAGGGGGAATTATCTACTATCAACAATTAGATTATTGTTTGCATAAGATACCGCGTAGCTGGTGTTGCCCAAATGAGACAAATGAGAGTCTTGGTCTTGCAAACTCAGTCTTGATCATGGTCTTGGTCTTGCGCAAGAGTCTTGCAGTTAATTATTAGCTTATTACTATATAGATATTACTGTAATATTTTAGATAGAAGGAACATAACTAAGCCTGAATGAAAAATTAAATGCAAAAGTATATTGGCTATTCCAATATTTAACATATAGTAATTAAGATTGTCAAGTATTAGTAACTATTTTGCCTTGATTTTTATTTTTAAAAAATCGTTTTTTTTTTACTAGTCCTGATCTTGGTCTTGCAACAGTTAGGCGGCCTTGGTCTTGGTCTTGCAACCAAGACCGATTTTGGGCACCGCTACAGGTAGGTACTTTTTGATTGGATATGTTGAAACTTTATCATTTATTGATCATAATAGTAAAGAGAAATTTTGTAAAAATTAATGTATTGGATGTTTATTCTGGCATAGGATTATTTTATTCTTAATTAGGCATAGCATTCTTATAACTGAGATCTTATTGATCGTATAGTTCCTAGGTGGGAAATCTTTTGATTATTAGATGCCGCAGTAAGGTTAGGCAGTGCTACTGGGAGCCGCAATAATTATTTATATTTTACCGTTGCAGTTTTTATTTATCATTAAGTACACACATCCACATACATAAATTGAACCTTATTCTATTTATACTTATCTACAAGACAATACTAAAACCCATCTGGATCTACGGACTAGAACTGTGGGGGACAACCAAATTTTATAACATCAAACGCATTCATTCCTGATAGTCTAAAGGCCTCCGTACAATAGTCGATGTTAAATTCTATGTCACCAATAAAACCCTTTATAATAACCTTAATATTCCATTTATTTTTGATCTTATCGCAAACGAATTCTCTAAATTTTATCAGAACCTTACCCATCACCCTAATTCCGTAGCACAGTCTCTATCTAGCACCACCCATCCCTAAAATCATTTTCGCAGGTTAAAACGGCAGTGGTCCCGAGACCTTTCGTAACATGCATATATTTAGAGTTCTGGCAATGCCCAGATTCTCCACTCAAGTCATGAGGGTCTGTGGTTGTAGCGCCCTTACTCAGCCTCCGCTGGCTTTTAATGCCAGTGAAGTGGTTGAGGGAGAAGCGCAGAGATCTCCTGGAGCCTCGCTTTTCCCTCCACAAGTGGGATGACAAGTCTGGTTTGGAGTTGCCATGGCCGATTGTAAATAGGTATGCCTGCGTCTAAGATGTTTATTTTTATTTATTATTATTATTTTTCTGTATTATTTATTTTTATTTATTGTTAATGGAGTGTGAATGTGCTCTTTGAACACTATTATAAATGTCCTTAATTGTGACAGATTGTAATATCTCTCAATACATATGCTTAAAAAAAATTCTATTAATTTCCAAGTTTCGTTACATAAATAATTAAATATTTATTATTTATAGCTTTAGATTAATAAATATGCTGAAAAAACATTTGAAGGCCTAGAGATGCGACCTAGAGATTCCAGGTTCCTCCTACCTATGGTATAGGCAATATTACCTACCTTTTAAATGAGGATTCAAGTCACAAAACGTTTCGCCACAATCAGACTTTTATTGCCAGGTGTTTAGTTGAGACCATTCTTGGAAATAATTATAGCTTTAGATAAACACTGTCTTAAGAGGGATAGTTATCCTTTGAGTGGATAATGTAATATGTTTTATAGTCCTTCGAGGTAGTTATTTCCTGAGGGCCAGCTGAAGGGTACGTCAGGACAAGTTATCTTCAGCAGCGGTCATCCAGAGGGGAAATGGATGGCCTGTTGTGGGGAGCCTTCCATGCCCAGTCGAGAGGCGAGTGTTTCTCTCGATCTGAAAAAATAATAATCATAACTTATATTATATAATTAGTTACAACGTTATCAGTAACACGGCCATTTGCATATATAAACGATCGTCACAAATTAAAATCTTGCTTGAATTCACACCGGATGATTATTTTGACTTATTATATTTCTTATTTGGCCTGTCCTGATAAATAAAAGAATCATCTACAATTCAAATTAACCACATAATAAAACATCTCAGATATCTCTATTTGAACCATTCTAAAACCCAAGTATTTCAAATCACACTTGGATGGCATTTACCAACATATAAAAACCCACGAAATATGCCAACATAATTTTTTTTGTTTAAATGAAAATGTAATCTCCGTTTATAAGCTTCAATAATATATCATTTTTTCTATTCTTTATTTTATTGTGCTAAGCGATTTCATTTATATTCTATATTTATTAAAAAGTATTTTCAATAATAAATATGAATACTTTAATTGGTTTTTAGTAATTAATTTAATATTGTTTTGGTCCCATCCTGTTTAATTTTTAATCAAACAATAATATTATTGATTAATAAGTTGAAGCGATGCTATTTTAAAAACAATTTTCATACTTTTTTAGTTCCGATTTCTTGTTCCTAAAAATAAGTATTCATTGTTAGCTAATGTCGATGAATTGATACTTTTTTTTTTATTAGCAATATATATATTTTTAATAGCTAATTTTAAAAATACAATGATATACGATTTCAGTTCAATATTAATCCTGTCCTCTTTCTTTTAAAAATTGAAAAAATCGAGACCACAAAAATCAATATAGTTTTTTAATATTTACATCCCTGCGCTGTCCTAGTCTACTGTATAACCTACTCTACGAATAATAAAAGAAAAATTGGATTGTTTATTTAATAAATTGGAATTATTAATATTGGTAATTAATTAATATGGTAACATATTTAAGATCACGGGCCCGCGTACTAAAGGGATTCCACGATAACGACAAGGAACTTTTATTTATTTAATTGAATGATTACTTCATTGTCAATATAATATATATAATTCTGAAATATATTTTAACAAAACGAGAATGTTATTCTTTTTATTGAAAAATTCTCAGGTTTCTTGCTTTAATTCGTACTTTAACACTTAGAAATTTCGCAATAGGCACACGTTTTATTTAATTCTATAATATTTTTATTTAAGGAAAATTTCATTTTTCTTTTAATCAGACGAGAATTTCATTATTTTTATTAAAACAATGGTGGTTTAAAAAATAAAAAGTTTTAGTAAATAAGGCACCACCATATGAGATATTTTGTATAATGGAATGATAACTTTATTACAAGACAACTTCATAAATATTTAAATTATTTTAATAGGCTCTCTTTTAATACTTTATAAGTCATCTAATAATCTCATTAAAAAATATATATATATATATATATATATATATATATATATATATATATGCTTTTCATTGTTTTTATTTAAAATGGTTTAAAAAAAATATTAATAGAGATTCCACGAAATGAATCTTTTTTTTTTGGTGGTGGGGAAGGTTTGCATGAAATGGAATGATTACTTTATTGTAAGACAACATAGTAATTATTTAATTGATTATACGATAGCTTTATTGTTTTCATAATAAAATTGTCGGCCTGAAAAACCATAAGTGATGCCTCGTTATTAGGAGCGTTTTTTCAACTTGAATTGCAAGCAAAATATTTGTATATTCGACTAATCTGATGAAAATATTTCATTTGTTTTCATATTCCAGATAGCTATCCTTTCATAATAAATTTCAGAACCATCCGAATCCTCTCGATTTGAATCTTGTTTCCCCTTTGATACCCGATAACCCTGCGAGCTGTCTGAAAAGAAGATGTGTCCGTGGTTTTTCGATATACATATTATTAGAGTGCAACCAGTCATTTCAGCAAATACAACTTTTCACATTTACAGGGTGCGTTTTTATATTTATGCATTAATACAGTAAATATCCTGAATATAATTAATAATTTTTTTTTTTTTTGTGCCTCCTTGTTCTAGATACGCCTAAATTCCGGGATGCGGCCGAGATACGCCACTTTATGTTTTAGAAGATATTTTCTTCTAAATATTTTTCAGACTCATTTTTTGAACCTCAGAATAGAAAAGGTTTGTGGTATCCTCTTCAAAGTGTGGGGTTTGGCTTTTGTTGAAAAATTCGCGAGGATTACAAGATGTAGTGTAAATATACGTATTTATTTGGCAGATATGGAAGCCCACTGGCACAGCAGGTGCCCCCCCCAAATCCAGCTCCCAGATCCGTTAGGCGTTAATCCAGGACCTGTGTCGCTATAACTCTCGTGTCGCTATCTGTTATAAGGAAGGTCCTTAGTTCTTGGCTACCAGGACATCGGCTCCGCTAGTGCTCATTTCTCAGCGACGGTTTTGGACATCGTGGCCTCCTAAACGACGCCGTCCTGTGGGGTCCAGGATGATATGTTACCGGTACCCTTTTCTTGGGCGTGGTTTACCATCTTTTAGCATGTTTGTGTAAATGGACGTTAATTTATTCATACTTTAGAACATGTAGTCCAAAAAAAACAATTCTTTAAAAAATAAAATAAATAGTAATGTATCGTCACGGTCTTGGAAAAGAGAATCTTTGATCTTTAATATTTGTTTTTACAAAATACAAAATACTAAAGTGTTGTGCGATTTTGACGGTAAGAACAAAATAATATGCTATTATATGTATACTCAATAAAGGCCCGATTTATTATTTTCAATAATAATTCACTCAGAATTTGAGATTTACTTTTCAAGATAAATAGAATCCGATAGAAAAATCTGTTACTACACCATCCCAATAACTCCATATTATCATCCACCGCGCCAAAACAATTCTTTTTTTCAAAACGGTGTTCAAAACGAAAAACCTGGGTTTCTGTTGACTGTTACGCTTAATCGCCTCTACTGTTTTTTTTTTTTTTTTTTTTTTTTTTTAAATATGCCTGAAGAACTCTTGATGCCTATTAAATTTACATATGACATAATTTGCCGAAAAAAAGTTGGAAAAAACAATACGATGAAAAAAAAAACATTATTGCAAATTAGATATATTTTTTTTTTGGTGCTTATTCATAGGATAAAATTCTCTTCAAACATAAATAAATAAAAATATAAGTGAAAATAATAAATCATTTTGTAATAATTTGCAGCATTTTTAATTTTAAATTTATCTCACTCTAAAATTTCATTAGGAGAGCCTGATTCCAATTCTTTGTTCGAATTTTTTAACAGTTTATTTTAATGCACGTTTTTCCTAATTTTGACCTTATTTAAAACTTATTTTTGAAGTGAATACTTCTTGAGGCGCGTTTTCCTTTTTTTTTTTAGGAAAGTGAACTAGATTGAGCCGTCAGATGTTAAATGTGAAACGCTCGGGTAAAGTCGGCTAGTGTCGACTAATTAATGTGTTTTTGCATATGGATTAAAATATCTCAGAAACTAAAAATTCGGACCTGCATATTGTAAGCGAGGGAATTTTTAAGCATTTCATCCTCTCTGTAATGAATGGACTATTATTCAAAAACGTGTGTTAACGCGACTTTGTGTTAGAGAGGTGAAAAGGAAAAAATAGTGTCGAAAACTATATGATTACAAGTTTTATGGAAGATATGGATTGAAATATATCAGAAACTAAACACCTGTCCTGCATACTGTAAGCGAGGGAAATGTTCAGCATTTCATTCTCTTTATAATTACATATTATTTATAATTTATATTTCATATTATTAACCTTGCCTTGTTGATGTCTTCACCGCTATCTTGTGGTCTCATAAAGCACACACCTTTATTTTTTTTATATATATTTTCTGTGTGTGTTCAAGATTTATTTATCTTTATTTTTGTTTATTTGCTTTGTATATTATTATACTTACTTAAATTATTATTTTTAGTGTTTTTCATCCCTTGATTAGTAATCATCATATTTTAAAAAATATTTTTAATTTTTATTAACTTAACAATTTTATTAACTTTACAATTTAAATTAGGGAGCGGGGTAGCTCAGTGGTAGGGCACTGAGCTTCCAATGCAAAGGTCCCGAGTTCGAACCCCGGCTCATGGCAGAAAATTTATTTATCTGTTTCATTGGCCGTGGGGCGACCTTGGGTCAGAAGTCCCTCCTGGGGCACACCCAGCCTCTATAAAATGGGTACCCATAATTAAATAATTGATTAAGGGGGAAAACCTGGCGGTTGAGCGTGATCTCGGTCAAATCACCTCCTTGCACAACCGTTGACCTAGAAACAGTGCTTTCCCTAAATAGTACTGAACCCCAGACCCTTCATGGGTTGTAGTGGTACAGGTTTTTTTTTTTTTTTTTTTTACAATTTAAATTATTTGTTGGATAAGAAATTAAGAAAAAACTTAATTATGTCCTCAAATTTCAATTCCTCGGTAGTATAGTGGTAAGTATCCCCGCCTGTCACGCGGGAGACCGGGGTTCGATTCCCCGCCGGGGAGATAATTTTTTTTAAACATTTAATTTTAGTTTTTAAGTATCGATATACATTAGGGCAATAATAAGTATGTATATGTTATATACTGACCAATTAAAAAATAATTATGATATAAAGTAAATACTTAAATAATTACCTAAATACATTAAAGGAAAGAAAATTTATTTATAAAAACCTTTCTAAAAAAACATTAAATATAAAAGAAGATTTAAGGTTTATTCATGATACTTTGAACCAATCTATAAAATAACATATTTAGTTTCTAAACCCTCCCCTCCTTACCTACAACCCTTACCTACAACCCTAATTGTACTATAATCATTTTAGTTTGATATGAGCAATTGTAGCAATCTGATAAAATCTCTGTTACTTACCCAATTTTGGTGGGAATAAAATTTAACTAAATTGCGTTTTAAACAAATTTTATAAAGTAATTTATATTCATTCAGAAAAAAATATTTTAAATGTTGATTGTGACTGTTTCATACTTGAAGATATAATATATTAATTGTATTATTCTAGGTTGCTGAAGAGGAGGAAAAAGATTTATTGAAACGTCCAATAAATAACGATCAAAAATTAATTTGATTATTATTGAAAAAAACATAAGGCAAATAAATATGCGTGAAAAAATAATTTATGTTTATAATTGTGTTGAATTTTAGTCATCAATACCAGTGTGTGTATCAAATCGAGTACCCTATTTACAATAGCAGCTGCCCAATAATTCAAAAAATGAACATCTCATAATTTTATAACCATGAGATAATGGTTTTAAAATTAATTAACTTTTCAACACAACAAAAAATAAATGGTCTGTTTCGGACCTGAATGAGAAGAATTATGGTCAATTGAACTTTCTATTTATATTTAAACGTAATTGATAAATATTCTGCCCGGGTTTACACACGAACACTTTTCCTTGTGTTTAAAGAACTATGATTTAAAGTGAAAAATATATTTTTAATAAAAAAATCTAAATTGAATAAAAAATATTGAAGATACAACAAATAATTTTTGTACTGGATCTTAACCCCAAATTTGTAAAAAATGTCGTTCGAGTGGACACACAGCATTTTTTTAAATTAGTAAGAAAACTGTCGTTAAAATCTGCAATGTCGTTAGGAAAAATATATTTATAATAATATAACAGTTTTCTATCACTGAAATATTGATAAGTTAAAAAAGGATAACTGAAATATACAACAAGCCCACCTTTGGACATATACAATATTAATGATTACTTAATTAGCTGGACTGATTAACATACCATCGGAAGAAATATGGCCTCATAAATCAGGGAAACCTCGGAGCTGTGCCAGGCTAGGAAAGAAACGGGATACCTGCCCATAAAAAAGAAATAAAAAAATACCACTATCGATTTCAGTATCGACTCATGCGGTCGATCTCAAATCTTCAGCTGGGCCGATAACTGCTCACACGTGCCTCTTTTATGTAATACGTTTCCACTCGGTATGAAATCTTTAATTCAGGCAGTTTATAACCATATTTTCCTTCCCGGTGTGTTATTTGATTGAGGAAAATAATACTCTTTAACAGTATATTGTATATATATATATATACAATTATAATGTCCTAAATGAACGAGGTACTCAAAAAATCTTATTTCATTAAAAAGGTGGAGAATCCAATGTTAATCGTACGAGCAATTTTAATTGTTTATGATGTATACTACACCATTTAAAAATATACTGAATGTTTTTCATTGTGTGTGTTGACAGTTTCCCATATAGTAAATCAAGGAGATTGTCCTGTCAGTCTACAGTAGGGTTTTTTTTTTGGCCCTCGCGAAGCCCACATAAAGGTTTTCATTTTATTTATAATTATAAAATATTTTTATTATTTTTAGTATCTGAGATTCTGTGTTTATTTTTTACTTTGTTTGAATTATTTTTTATTGTTATTTGTTATTTTTTATTATCGTTTGTATTATTATATATGTTTTAGATATACATTGATGGTCTCCATTTTCAATTATTCGATTTCTCAGAGCAGCCCAACAACTTAACAAGCCAATGAAAAGAGCAATATATATAAGAAGCCTAAGAGTGGAGGTAGATCCTGGAAAATGAAATTAGTGCAATAACAAGGGTGCTTATTTATAAATGCTCTGCTTAATAATTATTTTATTATTATTGATGAAGTGTTTTACACATGCCCTAAGTTAAATTGTTATTTTAAACATTTAATATTTTTGATTATTTTTTTAGTTTGTTTGCAAACCTCAAATTAGCATTAGAACAAAAAAACAAAATATAAATTAAAATTCCTAAAGAGTTCAATTGTTCCGGATTCATCTTAGTTTCGAAACAGAGAGCTCCCTGGAATCCTTATTGATTCTAATCGACCATGGTATTCCATTCCATAGGCCTGGTTCTCCTCGGCAACCGGTTACCCCGTACTTCGGGACGCTCTCTCAGACGAAGACCCTGCCACGAGGTGCCCTACGTGACCAGAGACCGAAGGGCCGCCGTGAATGGACCATTGTCTATGCCTGCCCTACACACACATAGAGAATTAGTATTCCGGCCCTGCTGCCTGCGATGAAATCAAAAGTTGGCCAGCCCTTTACGTATTCACGTTGGGTTTTCTGGGTCAAAGTTACTACGCTTGTCTGTCAGGGACGCTCATTTGAATAAAATTTAAATAAGATCGATTTTTTTTTCTCTCCCCCTTGGGGCAGGTCGCGGAACTGCTTTATGTAAATCCTCTGGCAAAGTGTTTGGTGGGGGGCACCCTTTCTATTTTTACATTATCAGGAATGCAAATGGAGTCGACGACCTCAAACTATTGACACATCTCACTTTCTACTTCGGCGCTATTATAAATATATTCTACTGTACATCATAAAATAATTATAATGATGTAATTGTTTGCTAGATTCTGCATATCTAAACACATGTATAATTCATCTATCCGGATAAACTAGATCATCTTAAACATGTTCCTATGTTATTACAATTTGAAGAATCTTTATGGTAATTACTTTTTTTCTAAGTGTTCCCAGAATTTAATTTAGGCAAAGACCATGAAAATTAATTTACAATTATATTTTTAATTTATGTTATTTCTTATGAGTTGAATTTTGATTCTTAATAGGTGTAATTATTAAATAATTAAAATCCCTAAGTTATATTATTAAAATTACAATTTTTAATAACATATATAAAAATTTTATTAAGCATTTACCCAAAGGTATTGAAGAATCATAACTCCATTGAAAAACATACACATATACTTCATGTTGTTATATTGATTGTACAAAGCATAAACCAGTATGCTGTGTATCCAGCAAACTAATATAATTGGGTAGCACGCTTTTGTATGAAAATAAAGTGTTTCTCCCTAGAGGCGTAAAACCCCGAGGTCATCAAAGCCAATCTAATCTTTATTTTAATAACCTCAATTATTGAATCCCAATTTTTATCAAGTAAAAGAAGAACTCACATTTAAATTTTGTTCAGTGAATCGTAAGCTTTAAGAAAATTTATCACCGATTTTATATTAATTTTCTTATTATTTAAAACTAATAATAGTTTTTTTACAAATCAATCTCAATTTGGTTAGAACGAATACTTTATAGGAAAATGGGCTGACTGTGAGAATACCATAGCTACTTTGATACACATATACTTTTTCACTATAATACACAAATTGTATATATTTTTAAGTATAAACTTCGTATTTAAAAATCAGTATTTTTTTAAAATAAAGTTAAAGTTCAATGAAAAAATAAAAATAAAGGCTCACGCCAGTAAATGGAACATTTCTTTCTGTCTCTTAGGGAGAATGTAATAATTTTTATTTTTCTAAGTACTTGACTAATTCGTTATGATGTTATGATGTAAAAACAAAAGAAAATATGACAAAAAAACAAAATGTTAAATAGTAAGCATTCATTTCTTGTAATGATAGATATTAATCTATAAAAAAATAAAAGTTTATCAAGAAATATACAAATATTCTTGCTGAGTAAAATAATAACATCTTCATTACAATTTTTTTATTAGCATTTATAAAATGCAAAACTTTGCGGAAATGAAAGTTAAGAATTATCTTAAACTAATGAAAGTTTGATTGATATTTTGGATTTCCAAGTTCTTAGGGTTGGTTTTATTCTTTTTGTTTTATTTTTTCTCTTGAGTGACCGACGTTTGGGAAGATCATGGATAAAATTAGGAAGTGCACAGTCTTCATGTTACAAAACATTATAGTTTATAAATAGAATGAACTTTCAATCATACAAAAGTCGACGATCTTTGTTATTTGGAGATTCCTATCTCTGTACATCGCTGATAAAGAAGCGATATAAATGAGACCAATATGAACCTTTTACGACAATTCCCTGAATACCCTAGCAGATCGACATGCCGCCCTGGACCAGGATGACCTCCCGAAGAGAGGACAAAGCGGAGGAAGGTGTGACGGAGCAGGTGGGTGCGGCTGGATTCCTCGAGTGGTATGCGCCAACGTTCTTAATAACGGGTCGCGTGCTCTGCTCAATGGTGCCTTCTAATGATAGACTATGGTCTGTGGTGTCTGCTCGGCAATTAATGACCCTGGTCTGTCTTCATCCTCCGGGGGCGACACTGGGTCATCTGGAATTGGAGGGAACCGGGAGTCCAAAGTGCCGAAGGGAGTGGAACGCAGGGATCAGAGACAAGTACTCCCCCGTCGTGTTCTATAAACGAAATTTCAGCTGCTAAGTCATCAGTAACTATACCACATTTATTTAATTAAAATATAATAGTTCTATAAATTATTATGTAATTTAAAAATATGTAATTTTGATGTGATTTTAATGTAAAATTTTACGTTGATTTGATCAAATGTTATGATGGTATATAAATGTTTATTTTTTGCTGAATCAGCTGTTGTGATAGTAAATGCGATCCACGTCACAATATTTAAATGTAATAAATATATATATTATGAATCTTGCAATTCAATATCCAGTAGAATTGAAACCTAATCTTGGATTAAAATCCTCGTGTATTAAAAGAGTTGTATGAACTACTATATAAATAAATATCCATAGTAAGTAGGTTCGGTTTGAAAAAACAAGAAAAACATAAATAACACGAAAGAGATTGAAATTGTTTACATAATGAATTATTATATTATTTTTTATCTTTTTTGTTGGCCTAAAAATAAAATCATTTTCACCAGTTTACTTTTTGTTAACAATTAGAAAACATTAACAATAACAGGGATTTGAATACATAAAATTGAATATATAAAGATTTATTCTTCTAAATTACTTAATTGTTTTTGGTTAAACATTATGGATAAATAGCTGTCAAAATATGTTTTTAAAAACCATAAATGATTCTTGAAATTTTTCTTAAATATTTATGTACGTATAGTAGCTAGTTGGCAATTTACAAGTACCTGTAGAAGATGCTGTTATGCATTAGGAGTTAACAATATTATAAAGTAGGTTTTCATATTAATTTTGATTAAATATATGTAAAATCATAAAATAACTTACATAAATATATTTTAGTTTAAAAAAGAAACTCTTGAATTCAAGTGGGTTGCGAATTCTACTTTCTAAAAAAAAATATTAATTATTTATTTACTTTTCAAGTTTTAATTAATTTCATCATGGTAGAGATTTCTTATTTCATTTTTTTTTTTAAGCAGCTAGCCAATTTGTTCTACTGGAAAACTGATGAGCACCACGATATTCAATGTATGCATAAGATATTCAGTTTATCATTATTTAAATTGATTTCCTACTTAAACATACCAGTACAAAATTCAAATATCCTTTTTTGCTATTTATCTTAATTTTCTCAATAAGCACTCTTGCTCAATCTCCACTGGGTTAGGCCCAAGTGACGCGATTGAGAGAGTACAGGGATCTCCTGGAGTCATGCTTTTCCCTCCACAGTTGGAGGGACAAGTCTGGTTTGGAGTTCTCTCGCCAGATATATAGGTTATTCTTATTTATTGTATATAAATTATTTTTCTGTATTATTTAATTTATTTATTGTACATGGAGTGTGAATGTGATCTATGAACACTATTATAAATGTCCTTGAGACAGATTGTAATATTTTTCAATAAAATAATAAAATAAAATGTTTTAACTAAGTTTTATACTTTATTATATTGCATACGAGTTAACTGGTCATGAAATAAATTAAATAAATCACTTGTTTTGACAGGTAGTGGAAGCTCTATTGAGGTGATCAAGACTTGGTTCTATTTGTTAGTCCACTGTAGGACAGTAATCATGTACTTCGTAAGTTACATCATGTGGTAGTATATTTCTTTTGTTTACTTTCATTTACCTATATATGTAATATATAGCAAGATAAAGTATTGCGATCATGAGAATTTTCGAGCCTAGGTTTTCAGCGGAAATACACTCTTTGAGGCCCCCTGAGTCCTAATAACCAAGTCCTGCAAAATGGTCTATGTGTGTGCGCGTGTGTAGGTGTGTGTGTGTGTGTGTGTGTGTGTGTGTGTGTGTGTGTGGGTTTGTGTGTGTGTATCTGTATGTGAACAGTCTAGCTCAAAAACGAAAAGTCTTACGAAACTGATATTATGTATTTAAGATAGTTGCTGGCATCTACCGTAGATATGACAGCTACTTTGAATTTTTTCTTATATAAAATGAGACTGAGATGCCAATCCACTTTTGAATCCCGGATCACTTTTGAATACCTCAAAAACTTCTATATGTTCATACTTGGTGAGGATGAAAAAAAAACGATACCTCTTCTTGGAATTCTTGCTCGACATTTATAGAGTAGTGGCACCAGTAATAATTGAGCTATCTTCCAACTATAAAATGTTTGCGGTAACTTGTAAACTGGCCCAGGTACAAGATGATTAATCAGCTTTTTTTTTACATCTCACCTGGCTAATTTGCCAGAGATCAACTTAGAACGAAAAAAATGTTTAAATTATCACCAGCAACAGCGAAGAAGCACCAACAGTTTCAGAACGGTGTGCTAAAAAAAATAGTAAGACACAAAACTTTACAAAAAACATGTGAGGACCAACTGCATATCACCCTTTAATTACTGAGGGTGGGCGAATTTATTGCACGCAGGCATATCAAATTATTTGATAGCCTTAAATACTCGACAAACCGACCTTTTTAAACACTTACTCCACTTATCCACAAACCTATGAGATTGCAGACTTACATTAAAAACCTCTTACTAGACTGGGAAAATGAATTTAAATTTACAGGACTCTAGTAAGTCCCGTCACTTGACTAAGACACATATTAACTACGAATAACCACAGTACTCCCAATTCCCTCTTTTGACCGACAAAACAAGACAACCGAAATTGAAACACAATATTTATTTAACATTTACCTGAAGTGTAAAAAAAAAAAGTATAAATGAAGTGAATGAAAGTGTAAACGAAATAAGAATTGAAGGTGTTCCGATTCGAAAGACTAGGACCAAGCAAATCCACCAATCCACCCAAATTATGAAAATCTGTAGTTAAAATTACCCTGTAAGGTCGATGGCGCAAGAAGCTACCCCTCTCCTCCTCCCAAAATATTTTATTGGTTATCTTTTCTTAAAAACAGGAAAAACTAAAGTAGCATTAGAAATATCGTACATCATATGCAATTACACTTGCTACGATCTGTTCCATGTTTTCTTCTTGTTCCTCATTCCAAAAATCTATAACCCCGTCGAAATTTGTCTCCCTCAAAACATCAAAAATCCGTCAAAATATGCCCTCTCAAAAATTTTGATGGCTCAACTTGCGGAACTCCATTCTGGGCACCTCTGGTTCGAATCCTATTAGATATACTGGGATTATTTTGGCCTAAAATTGTAATAAATTCAATGTAGTTTAAAAATGTATAGAAAGTTTTTGTCGAAAATGTACTACTTCATGATCAAAATGGAGAAAAACCGAATGCTTATAATAAGTTATAACTATTACTACCGGTGACACTACTCTATAAATGTCGAGCAAGAATTCCAAGGAGAGGTGTTGTTTTTTTTTATCCTCACCAAGTCCCATCCATGCATGTGTACACATATATAAACGATTATTTATGAGTTTATCCAGACACAATAGAAACATATATACGTTCACAGTACCATTTTTAAGGACACAATAAAATTAAGCGAGACATCTGTTGCTGGAATACACACCGCAGCCGAGAGACATAGATACTCCGGGACATGGGGAATGGATCGCCGTCATTGAAGCAGGCTATAAATCATTGGACCTCAAGGAAGCGAGCCGTAACAAGCGACTGCCACATCTTCCTCTTAGCAATTCCTTATATGTTATCTTCCCGCTTATCGCAGCTTAATGGTCTCCCTTACGTAACTCCTCTTAGTTATATACGTTTAGCTCTAGTGTGCTTTTTATATTGTACAGTTATCTTTTCTAATGGATGGAACCGATTTATCATATTGCTTCGATGTTCTCAAAAGTCATAGTTTGTTTGCAAGAAGAGGGGTAAATTAAAGCCTGTTTTTGGATGGAAAATTATTTTGATAAGGAACGATTAAAGAACAAATAATCTGACCAGTACCACCAATATTACTGTTAGTTGTTGGATTATTGTAACTAATACATTCGACTTGATATTGTTATTTATTGATTTTTGACATTTATACTTTGTATTTGTAGTTTATTGTACTTACTTCTAATCTCGAACTAACATGGTCAATAGTTTTGTTTGGGATACGGCTGTGACAGTTTTCAATTTTGTTAGTGTGCCAATTAGACAGAAGAATGGTGTTATTTAAAGTAAAGTGTACCCTATACTACTTATAAAAACTGAAATTTTGTGCGTACGTGCCATGGTTATCTAATAGGAGCAAATTAGAAAAAAAGAAAATGTTATAGCAGATTCTGCTCCAATGACCGTAGTGACAATTCTTTAAATCGAGAGTGACAGTTTGGAAATGGCACCAAAATATTCTAAACACTTTTATTGTATTATATAACAATTTAATCTCTTATAATAATAAGGCATAAACATTTGTAGAAGAATCAATTATCGGTCTTCTTTGAGCGTTTTATGGGTATCTAAAAATAAAATTAAAATTTACTTGTCATACAATCTTACCCAGAAAATATGTCACAAGCGTACCCAACGCATTGCATGCACAAAACAGTCACCACGACATTATAAAATTATCTACGCACAAAGTAACAACTAATGTTTAACTTATAACGAGAAAAACACTCATCACTCTATCTTTACATATATCACAACAATTATACAAAGAAATAGAAAATAAATAGTTTTTTGTCTGTTAAAAAGTAATGAAGGACTGTATTAGCGTTAATGTCGTGCGATTCCATTGCAATAATGTTTAATACGTTCAGATAGGCACAACATCCCTTTCTTCCTAATAAACCTATCGGAAATTTTTTATAGTTTCGATAATATGATGAGTGTCTTCTCCGTACTTTGGCATAACCGTCTCCCCTACTATACTATTTTGCTTGATTGAAAATTAGTAACTTTCTTTTGGCGTATTTATGAATATTTAACATGAATTAGATGCAGAGCTTCCAGAAAGGGGTTGTATGGCGTAAGTTGTGGCATCAAAATTTTTTGAAGAGGGTATATTTTTACGGGATTATGATTTGTTCAAGGAAAGGAACATTTTGACGCATTTATGAATTTTCAAAGGTAATAATGTTTTTAACCATTAAGGTATTCATAATAGGCTATCGGTTATGGGATAAATTTGTC